TACGTCAGTTTTAAGGTATAAGTCATGATACTCACCTAAATTTTTGCACCCGAATTCCTTCCAAACTTTTTGCGCATGATCATGATCTTCCTGGCTGATTTTACCATTAAGCTTGCCGTGAAATTCATGAAATGGCGGAAGTTTGGTTTCACTAAATCTATCATGCGAATCAATATATTCGTATGGATATACACCTTTGCGACATACCAGCGCAATCTGTTCTGGAGATAAATCTTTGTAAATTTGACATGTGATTTTATGATTTTCGAGAGTACCGAAACATCGATTATCATCTATCCGGTGGAAATGTTTGCAGTTTGAGTCCTTACATTTTACTGCACCTAAATTTTCTGCGAGCTTTGCTAAAGACGTGTTCATAAATTGCATGCTATCGATATATCGCAATTGACCCACTCTCATCGACTTATACCGCTCAAACGTTTCCGCAATAACATTGATTTGTTTGGCGTTAACTGAACGTCCTACTGATTCACAGATTAGATGAGAATCGTAACCTCGGAAATTATGGAATACTATTGGTATTGGGGTTTTCCATGGCGTAATTTGGAGTTTTAAATTACAGTCATTATGTGATGCCCCTCGAAACTCACCGGTAATGTGGCAGTGATCCCAGACTTTAGAGGCGGAAGCATCCTCGCTCTGCGAGCCTCCATTTAATTCTTTATGACAAATCCAACATTTATCCGCCTTATCAAATTTTTTCTGATATTCATCGGTTACTATACGTCCAGCCTTAATAGCTAATACCTCGTTAATTCGAACCAATTCATTGTCGATTCTTTTGACAAATTCCTGTGTAGCATTCGGTCCCCGATATATAAACGGGCCCCATGTTTCGCCAGTATCTATCCAATGAACTGTGTAACAGAAACTGTTAGCCTTTTGTTCCGCAAATTTTCGCATATTTCCACCATATGACTCATCGCACTTTTTATTATCCCCCTCAAAATCTGCAGTTATTACACATGGAGCGTAAATCATTCTCGCGTAATTTTTGAATTTTTCTATGTCGTTTTTACCTTTTTCCGGCATCGTAACTTTTTGTGGGGCTTCTCCTAATCCAAAACACCACTTCTGATGGTATGCCAACGATTTTTCAGATGACCAGCTTAGGAAACATCGATTGCAGAGATGTTTTTTGCCATGATGTGCCGTATCCTTGAATACTAAGGCATCTGGGTTTTTAATCCAAAGAAATTGGTTTTTTGTCCCGTACTTACCATCTGTCTTCGTTGTATCACTAAGCGCCATTAAGTGGATAACATGCGGTATTTTTTTGTGGCACTCAATTGGGTTAGAATGAATACAACCCTCAATTGTACAGGAATTTGGAATATAGAACTTTTTGCTTGCGATTACTGCTTTGGGTGTTGCAGTTTCGTTCTTCCATTCCCATACATTGATGGATATATTGGGGTTTTGCGCTTCGATTTTTTGGAATATACGATTACAAATCGGCGTTGGCATTGGAATACCGTCTAAATTAACTCTATTTAAATATGGACGAATTACTGAGAGGCGTTGTAAGTCTTTTGTTATTCCCTCAAAATTAGCAAAATATGCGCCAATGGCATACTTTAAACATAAATCATCCTTTGTTTTAGAATTATCGGGATTTATGGTACATTTTTTATTTGCGAGATTTTTTGGCGTCCGTATATATGATCCACCTTCTGCTCGTCGTAATGTATAAGCCTCAATAAACATCATTTCTATTCGGATTAGTGTCCATCCTGACCCGTTGTTTAAAAACGCTTCTATTTTTGTATCAATTTCCCCGCCTGAAAGAGTAATATGCTCATCTATATCATTTTCTGAAAGAATAGCACGCATCTTTCCATTGTGATAATTTTGCCTATAAATTGGAATTTCTACTTTATAATCCCCTTTATCTTTCTTTTCCATTTTCATATAATTACAGTATACTACTATTGCAGATTTTATTTGATCTTTTCGTCGGAGTTCAGCCTTTAGTACGCTTGTAATTTGCTCTCGAGCTAATGCCATAAGATGTGGCATGTATGGGGCTTCAGCATATTTTTGGGGGTCATCTATGGGTATATTAAAAGTATATGCTGGATTTTCTATTGATGGTACAATTGCCTGCCATTTACTTAATGAAGATAAACTTGTGTGCGGTCTATCAGTATCTCCAACTTCAGTCTCTTCAAAGAGTATATCACCTTGTGGTGGTTTAACTGTAATACTTGCTAATCCCGAATCTCTATAATATGATCTAAATTTTTTGCTCTTTGCCTTATCCGCTAAAAGTGTACCACACAACTCGGGCCAACATTCTTCGATTTCGGGTTCCTCTATTAAACCTAATGCAATAAGTAAATTGATCTCCTCCTGAGTAATTTCCGATTCATTATTGCTTTGCAATGGGGCTCCGCCCTTATTAGAATCTGAAGGATCTCTGATTTGTGATATCCCCTCTCTATGGGCTTGAGTTGATGGACCTGGACCTGCTTCTGGGTCGATTTGTGGAATTGGTTCAGGTATCTTGGGGGAATGAACAACTCGAGGACGGCATGGAAATTTTTTATTCTTATGATCTC